AACCGAAAATCTTTTAATAAACATCGCAAAAAAGAGTCCAATTATAAAATAAACGAACTTGTAGCCATTAAGAGAACACAGTATGGTACTAGTTTAAAATTGAAACCTAAATTCTTTGGTCCATATAAAATAGTAAAGATTCAAAACCATGGTAGATATGACGTAAAAAAGGTAGGCGACCACGAAGGTCCAGGGAAAACTACAACTGTAGCAGAATACATGAAAAAATGGGAGCCAAATGCTAATTTAACAGAAGAGTCGTCATTCGGGTCGAATGAAGAGTCAGGATGGCCGAGTGTAGGAGTTGGAAACAGAACTAGGAGTGGTCGAACTTACAATCAGTTAAATTAAACAGGCATTTGGTAATATAAAATCACTTATCATATGCAACCCTGCTATGGATATTTAATCCACGATAGATTTATCGATAAAAATACAAGAAGGAGAAGCTCAGTTTTAAGCTAGAAGAGTCAATGAAAAGATGTGTTCGCTGTTGCTCGTTGTCTTTGAAATACATGTCGGAAAATGTACCCTGCTATGGATATTTAATCCACGATAGATTTATCGATAAAAATACAAGAAGGAGAAGCTCAGTTTTAAGCTAGAAGAGTCAATGAAAAGATGTGTTCGCTGTTGCTCGTTGTCTTTGAAATACATGTCGGAAAATGTACAATAATCATAAGTTTACGCTTGTTCACCAATTTCTCTAAATAAAATAATATGAACGTAAAGAACTCAAGTGCTTGTGAAGACCATCGAATGGTCATCCCTACATTCATGCGAGCTGTCTAGGGAGGATAGGATAGTTTCCTTGATGGACAAGGTAATTACCACCGAATTGTTGTCCAATGATTTTGTTTATCGGACAATCTGCTGGTTACTGCCCCAGATTTCCAAACTTATTTAGATAACCTACAACGAGTGGGGCAGTGAATAACGAACGCAAATCTCCACAGGACTGAACAAATAGAAATTCGGTTTTAAAGTATGAAACACATCAGGTTTTTTATTTTAATCAGGAGCTGCCGACTGTGGGATACCCTGAACCCCCTTCTACGAACAACAAATGCATCTCGCGCTATGCGCTCATTTGCTTTAGAAGTAATCAAAATAAAATAAAATAAATAAAATAACTTGCAACAGACCACACCAGTTGCCGCCGCCTCTTCTTGGATAATAATAATTGAGTCTTAATGAGAAAAACGGATTAAAATATCAGCACAGTAAACAATACAATAGCAATTACTGTTGATAGAATTTAATGTGCATGTGAATATGTATTTGTACATGTATACAGAAATCCAGAAATTTGCCCTAGCTGTCCAAACTCGAGGCCAGCCAAAACATGCTTTCTTTAATAACTTCTGTATTTCTTAATCGATCTTGATGCAATTTTCTACAATAGATCTTAACGCACTATAGAATGTTTGTATATTCTTAAAAAGTCAATTACATTTAAATTGTGGGTTAAATAGGGGGGCATTATAAATTGGTTTATTTACTTTATTTATAGATATGTGGTTTTAGCGGGAAGGAGGTAATAGCTGTAACATAAAAGATACTTGTTATATATGTATATACTAGTCTAGAAGATACATGTCCAGTTTGGTGGCTCTAGTTCTTTTTATTTGCCAAATTTACTCAAAAACAGGAGTTCAGTATTTTTATCGATTACTTGGAAATGAGGCAAGCTATTAATACTCGGAAACAAAATCGATTTGCGCGGGCACTAGGAGGACCAACAGCTAAATTTTCAAGTCTCTAGCTCTTATAGGCTCTGAGATCCTTGCGTTTATACATACGGATCGACAGACGGACTTAGGTAAATCGGCTCGGTTGCTAATGCTGATCAAGAATATATATACTTTATGCAATCGGAGATGCTTCCTTCTGCCTGTTACATACATTTGCACAAATACATTATACCCTTTTTACCCATTTTCATTGGGTTCAGGGTAGAAAAAATGAGAGAATGTCGATATACTGTTTTCTTGACGTAGAAATGGTGTAGTTAGCGTTCTTTTAAATCTCGGTCTTTCCGGGCAACATACACCTACGATCAAAATTTTATCTTCTAATCTTTGAGCTAGACGCGCTTATACATACGAACAGGCAGACAGACATGAAAAGATTATGTTGACTATTGATGTTGTTCATGAATATTTATACTTACCTATGTCGAAAAAGCTCACTTCTGCCTGTCGGAAACGTATTTTAGGTTTATATTAGCGGTTATGTCCCGTCCTCGTCCGTGGCATATATAAAATAAACGTCCGCAAAAAACTTAAAAAATTATTTTGGCACTGATCCGACGGTAAACAAAAAACTTGCATATAAACGTTTGCCGCCGATTTCCCACTGTTGCATGGAATTTCAAAATCACTGAAACACGTAATCATTAAGTTTTTATGTAGAGCTTTGAATATTAAAGCAAAACTTTTTAAACCAATCTTAAAATTGCCAAGAACGTATCAAATAAATTCTTACAAAATCTTTAAAAATGTTTTTGCAGCCTATCGGATGGTAAACAAAAACTTTTATACAACCGTTTTTCGTCTATTAACCACTGTTGAGGGTGGAGGTATCCCCTAGTCGGGAAACACGTATTCATTAAGTTCTTATGTAGAGCTCTGTAAATAAGTTTAAAGCAAATCGGACAAAACTTAAACATTCACCAAAAATATCTTAAAATCGCACTTTCTACCGAGGAAGTTTGGATTGTGCGAAAAGTATGAAACACGCCTCAAATGATTTTTCGTATAGATCTTTGGAAATAAGGTTGATCACGAAACTTCACCCACCATACCTTTGACCTCCATTTGCTCCTTGAAGCTGAATAATAAATTTTCGTTTATTAAATCTTTGATACGCATCCAACAAAGTATCAAATAAATTCTTATAAAGATCTTTAAACATGTTTTTGCAGCCTATCGGAAGGCGAACAAAAAGCTTTCATACAACCGTTTTTCGCTAATTAACCACTGTTATGGGTGGAATGGCCCAGATCTCTGAAGCACGTATTAATTTAGTTCTTATGTAGAGCTTTAAAAACAATTTGATGCAAATAGGGCCAAACCTAAAACATCATAACTACAGTAAAAATTTCAGCTTTTTAGCTCGCCGGTTTGGGCTGTGCGTTTTTATATACATATTGATTGACCTTTGCATCAGTATTTTCATAAGCTTGCTTGATGATAATTCTATTATATTTAAAAGAAAGTAAGATTGTTTGAGTAGGAGATGCCCTAAAGTCAGCTTCGGGCTGTTTGCAGCTTGTGCTCCAACTGTGCCTCGTCATACCTTAACTCCACAATTTTAATAATTTTAATACTTATTGCCCCATAATCATTGATTTTAATGGTAAATACGATTAAAATAAGGCTCTTATAAGCTTTGAGAAATGACAAAAACCCCAATCAAAATGCGATACTTACCGATTTCATTAAAACGGGGAACTTTAAATAAACTCTCTGGGATCGACCGGACATGGCTAAATCGGATATTAATGCTGACTAAAATTGGTTTGGAAATTTCACATTCTACCTGCTACAACAATTTTTGGAATATTTGGGACTTGAAAGATATATAAAAGAAATAAATTGTAAAGTCTGCTTTAATTAAACCAGTGAACCAAAAATCCACCAACACAAAAAACCGATCGTTTTATAAGCTCGCTTGCTTTGACAGTAATTAAAAAAAAAATTGGACTCGACCTAGAACCGAACGATCTAGCCATGTCCGTCTGTCTGTCCGTCCGTATGTATGAACGCAAGGATATCAGAACCTATAAGAGTTAGAGACAAGACTGAAATTTTAGCTGTAGATCCTCCTAGTGCCTGCGGAGATCGGATTTGTTTCCGATAATCGATAACTTACTCCGTTTTCCGTTTTTTGACCAAATTAGGTAAACAATAAGAGCTAGAGTCACCTTACATGATATGTTGCTTCTAGAATATTATATATATATCAAGTATCTTTAATTTTATACCTATCACCACCTCCCCGCTGCCACCTTAGAGCTATAAATCAAGTTAATAACCCAATTTGTATTGCCCACCAATTTAAGCCACAATTTAAATGCAATTAACTTTCTGAGAATACACAAATATTCTATGGTACAATAATATATACTGTAGGAAAATTTCATCAAGATCGGTTTTCGTTTTGTTTTTCGGTATTTTGACTACGCACGTGTTTGCGACGCAAATTCCAAGAATTTCTGTATACATGTACACACACATTCATGCGCGTCTGCTTCGAATTCTTTCAACAACTAGAGGTGGTGGCATGTTGTGTGGTCTGTCGCGAGTTCAAACCCTGCCTAGGAAACTATTTTTGTTTTTTTGGCTGCTGTGGCTGTGGAGTGTAGACCCGCCAAGGAAACATTTTTTTTTTAAATTTATCTTTTTTACTTCAAACGAGTGCGTAGCTCGAGCTGCATTTGGAGCTCCCTAGTCGGGAGCTCCCGAGAGCTCTTACTTGCTTTGTTATCAATACTTTTTGAAAATATATAGAAAATCTAGAAATTATCGATATTTTTTTTATTTTGGAATTGATAAAAAAAAATTTAAGAGAAATATATTTGAGCATTGTAGATTTAAATGTTTTTCGAACTTTATTGAATAAGGAATTAGTTCAAAAAAATTAAAATATTAATATGATTAATATATTTTTTATTTATTAATAAATATTTTATCAATATATTTTTTAGGAACTGGGTGCTGATGATGTGATTCGACGAATAGGAGAATACAGAACCAATCTGGAGGCTGAACGGTGTTCCGACACGATAAAAGCTGTTATTGATAATGCCCTTGATACACAGCGTAATCAAATTGTTGAAATGATTGAACATGTTGCCCGCAAGATGTCACCATCTATTCGTAGATTTTTAACAGAAGGGGCAGAAGTACTCCATAAAGACTCAAATTCTATGGAAAGGCTGATGATGTACTTAGAACGGTCATTAACGACTCTTTATGATACTCTTAATGAAGTCAACTTTGGCAGAATTTTGGACGGTATTTGGGGAGAATTGTCAATAATAATATATGACCTTATTCAGTCTAATCTCGATGTGAGTATAGATTAAAACCGGCTAGGATCTTATCATATAAATTTTAATTTTAGAAACGCCGACCGCCATCTTTTTTTCAAAACTTGAGGGAAACTCTCCGCACTATGATATCTTGCTTTAAAATTGGAGAAGCAAAAACATCTGATGTTAAAATTTTATCAGAGATTGAAAGTATACTAGACCTCCATGCTCTCGAAACTGCTGATCTTATCCACCAATATTATCTAGATCGGTATAGAAATCAAAAAGAACAATCCACAGCACATTTCGGGCAACTTACAATTACCGGACAATTTACAGATTCTGGATTATTAGTAAGTATGAACTTGGGGGTGCCTGACTATGATGAGATCCTTCCAAAGGTTGTCGATATCGATTTTTATCGGCGTATATCAACTCACATATTAACTTCTCAAGGTTTAATCCTTATGAGTGTTCGCTTCATGCTTCACACGTCAGGCTACTTTGCGTAGCTCCCCGGATGGGGTATGGGTTTTAAAGCAAACAAACTCATGGCCAAAGAATATTATTAACAAAATTGCAAATATACCTGACAAAACGGGTGCTTATAAAGTGCTAAAAGAAACCTGGAAGACCGTTATTATACTTAACATATCTGCTCAGTTGGATGACATAACTTAGCACATAACACACTCAATTTTCTGTCCCTACAAATATATCTGGTCAAAGCAACGCCATGACAATCCCCGTGTGTGATTCTGGAATTGCTCATTTTAATACCCTGAACCCATTGAAAATGGGTAAAAAGGGTATTATGTATTTGTGCAAATGTATGTAACAGGCAGAAGGAAGCATCTCCGACCATATAAAGTATATACAAATATTCTTGATTACCATCAATAGCCGATCGAGTTGATCTAGCCATGTCCGTCTGTCCGTCCGTCCGTCCGTCCGTCTGTCCGTATGTATGAACGCGAGGATATCAGAACCTATAAGAGCTAATAACTTGAAATTTTAGCTGTAGGTCCCTCTGGTGCCTGTGCAGATCGAGTTTGTTTCCGATAATCAATAACTTACTCTGTTTCCAAGCAATCGATAAAAATCGATATCGATATCCTGTTTTTGGGCAATTTTGGTAAATAATAAGAGCTAGAGTCACCAAACTTGACATATAGCTCTAAAATAGAATATATATATATATGCATTTGATGTTGAAAGAAGAGGGTTCAGGGTATCCCCTAGTCGAGAGCTCCCGCCTAGAACCTCTTACTTGTTTTCTCATAAGTACTTAATTGTTGGTGTGGCTGGTGAGTAGAGGCATAGCAAGTAGTGCGGTCTGTCGCGAGTTCGAGCCCTACCGGGGAAAGTACTTTTTTTATTTATTTTTGCTGGTGTGGCTGTTGAGTAGAGTCGACAGCAAGTAATGCGGTCAGTTGCGAGTTCGAACCCTGCCAAGGGAACTTTTTTTTTTAATTTACTTGGTGTTGGAATAAGAGGGTTCAGGGTATCCCCTAGTCGGGAGCTCCCGACTAGAAGCTCTTACTTGTTTTTTATACCCTGAACCCATTAAAAATGGGTATAAGGGTATATTGTATTTGTGCGAAAGCCAAATGTATGTAACAGGCAGAAGGAAGCATCTCCGACCCCATAAAGTATATATATTCTTGATCAGCATAAATAGCCGAGTCGATCTAGCCATGTCCGTTTATAGCTAATAGGAGAGAGGAAAGTGAAATAATGGGAGGATCTATAGAACTACCGGAAGAAATAGTATAAGGGTAAGAAGAGTATCAGGACAGACTGAAGAGTAAGTTGATTAACTGAAGAGTAAGTTGAATCATAAAGCGAGCAACTAATAAGCTGTGTCTGCTTCCCCTTAACGATCCTGTTGAACCTCAATCGTTCAACGGGGGGAGTATGTTCGTCTCAGCAGCTAAAAATTAAATTAGTATTATGTTCGCATAACATTTCAGTTACATATTGTAATAGTATGATTTTCTTTATTGATTTAACTTATGTTCGGGTGGCCTTTTTATTTTTAACAACACGTCTTCTTACTGCTAGTACTGTAGAGAGACTGCCTTCCACTTCTTCTCTGCAGCCGCTTTTCTTTATCGATATTACATTTGCTTCATTATCGATATATACTTATCGTACTGTTATAATTAACATAGATAGTGACACTATAATACCCTGGCTAGGGTTACCAATGATGCTCTTATCCTATTACAACTCGGCCATCCTGACAAAGAGAGCTCCCGATCTCTGTCTTTTATATGTGTATCTATCTTTATAACTAATGCTTATTGCCTATTTTCGCATCCAATGCTTAAAGTTTTGGCTATTCCAGATACCAACGTACGGGTTGTGAGATAATTGAAAGCCTTCTACATCCTTTAACAAGTATCTATCATTTTTTAAAATCTTTTCTATACTATAAGGCCCTTTATATCTTGGTATTAACTTTTTTGAAACTCCTGGTGTGCTATCAAAATTTTTTACCATGACATAGTCACCTATTTTATATTCTACTGATACTTTCTTCTTTTTATTAATCCGCTCTTCATTTCTGATTTGAGCTTCTTTTTGATATATTTCTCCACTCTTTCTTATATTTTCTAAATTTCTTTTATCACACGTGTTCACCTGTGTAAACTCTTCTAATTTTTCCTTTAATTCATCAACAACTTTTCCTTTCTGTTGTAATCCGAATAACATTTCGCTTGGAAATTTCTTTATGCTTTTGTGTTGTGTGTTGTTTATTGCATATTCAACATTTTCTATAATAACATCCCAATGTAAACCATTTTCTGGCTCCGCCATTTTTGCCATCATCGGACCCAAGTCTCTATTCAACCTTTCCACCTGACCATTTGCTTGCGGACAACCCGTTGCTATTTTAATATGCGTTACTCCCTCATTTTTTAAAAATTCATCAAACTCTTTTGCAGTAAAACAACTCCCTCTGTCCGATACAATGAACTTAGGTCTACTATACGCTCTGAAATAATCTTTTAATGCCTTAATCGCTTCTTTCGTACTTGTTGTCTTTGCTGTATATAGTCTAACAAATTTTGAAAATCCGTCAACCACCGCCAATATATATTTATTAGCCCTTCCTGCATTAATTGGTCCATAATGGTCTATATGGATCATCTCCCACGGTTTGTTTCCTTTCGGTATGCTATGTAATAGTCCTTCACTCTTACCCGTCTTGGGGGCGAAGGCAATGCATTTTAAACAATTCCCTATATGCTTTATTGCTTTTTCCTTAATATATGGGAACCAGTAACTCTTTCCAATGGCATCGATCATCTTATCTCTCCCAGCATGTCCCAACTCATCATGATATTTGTAAAGTACATGTTCTTCCATATCCTTTGGTACATAAAAAACTAATCTGCCATCATTTGTTTTTCTGTAAATGACCCCATTTCTCATTTCGAATAGCTTGTGCTCTTTTTCTAACATCTTTCTAATATCTACCAGTTTGTCATCTTTGCTTTGGCAAATAACTAAATTGTCCTCAAAACTATTGGATTCAATAACTAAAATGTCCTCATAACATCTGCTTAACGCATCCACATGTTGCATTTGCTTGCCCGATCTATGCACTAACTCAAAATCGTAATTTTGTAGTTCTAACGCCCATCTAGCAATTCTCGGATTTAAATCTATTTTGTTAAGCGTTAAAGTTAAAGAGTTGCAATCTGTCATTATTTTAAATCGTTTTCCCTGCAGATATATACGAAATCTGCGTAATGCGTAAATGATGGCTAGCGTTTCTAACTCAAAACTATGATATTTAGACTCTACTTCGGTTGTTCTTTTAGAAAAATAAAAAATCGGGTGTAATTTCCTATCTTCTTTTTTTTGAAATAAAACAGCCCCAAATCCCACTGCGCTGGCATCACAATGTAGTTCTATTTCTTCTTTGTAATTATATATTGATAGTACTGGCGCCTCTAACAATTTATCTTTTAACATATTAAAACACTTAAACTCCTCTTCTCCAAACTTGAATTTCTTATCTTTTTTCAATAAATCATATAAGGGTTTAGCTAATATAGAAAAGTTAAAAATGAACCTCCTGAAGTAGGAGCATAACCCTAGGAAACTTTGTACTCCCTGAATTTTGTTTGGTATTGGAAAGGATTTAACCGCTTCTAACCCTTTTTCATCAGCCCTAACGCCTTTACTATCCACCACAAATCCTAAATATTTAACGCTGCTTTTAAAAAATTCACACTTATCTAATTTCAACTCTAATTTGTTTTGCACCAGTCTTATAAACACTTCCTTTAAGGTCTCCATGTGTTCCTTTATGTTTGTACTTGCTATCATAATATCATCCATGTAAACAATTACCTTATTATCTCTTATCATATCACAAAATATGTTATTAACAAATCTTTGAAATACATGTGGCGCAGTTTTTAAACCCATGGGCATCCTAAGAAATTCATATTGTCCTAAAGGGGTAACAAATGAAGTGTATTTAATAGATTGCTCATTAACAAAAACATGAAAATACCCGTTTTTTAGATCCAACTTTGAAAATACTGTTTTTCCGCATAGTCTGTCTAATAAATCGTCGATCAATGGTAGCGGGTAGTTGTCTCTACATATAATTTTGTTCAGTCTTCTAAAATCAATACATAACCTCATGTCTCCAGTTTTTTTCTTCACTAGTACTATAGGTGATGCATACTCTGAACAACTTGGCCTAATGATTCCATCTTTTAAATAGTCGTCTAATAATTCTTGCAACTTTTCTTTTTCCATATAAGATAACCGCCTAGGTGTACAATTAAATACTTTGTCGTTTTCTAATCTTATGCTTAACTCATGTCTTAATTTTGGCTGATTTGGCCTTTTCGCTTTTACATAAGTATTTTCAAATAAATTTTCAAATTCACACTTTGTGCTGTAATCAATATCTTCACTTAAAATATATATATTTTCTCTTTTGTTAGAATCTTCCCAACTTATTGTTAAGATATCCTTCTCAAAATTCTCTTCTAACACTCCCATGATTTCGCTATTCACTGGCGCTTCATTAACATGATTATTAATTTTAACTGCACTGTTTCCTATATCTTCTATAATCACTTTTTCAATCCCGGTTTGATTATAGATAATTTCATCACTAACAACTTCTTCACTATCAGGTTCGAGCTTAAGCTCTCCATAACTAACTATCTCATCACTAACAGTTTCGATCCCAATCACTTCATTTCTAACTATTTCACCACTAATTATTTTATTTCTAACTATCTCATCACTACCAACTTTATCACCAAGCGTTTCCGGACTAACAATTTTCTCACTAACTAATTCATCACTAACAGTT